CGCGCCGCGCGCGCGGGAATGGGTGGGGCGCGGCGAGGCTGCGGGCGCGCGGCAGCCGACCTCCCCCCACCCCCCTCACCCCCGCCCCTCGCCCCCGGCCCGCCCCCATCACCGCCTGCGCGCGCACACCTGGCACGGCTCGATGCCAGGGAAGCACGCGCACGTCGGCTTGATGCGGTTGGAGACCGGCCGCTTGAGCGCGTCCACCACCACCCGCACCTTGAAGGCCTCCTCGTAGAAGGCGCGCTTGCGCGTCGCCCGCTCGTTGGGCATCGGCGTTCCGCAGCGGAGGCTGCCCTGAAGCACTCGATATGAATCGACCGGTGTATTTTTTTCCGCCGCATTTCGCACCCCTTTGTTGATTGCTACCTTGCCGACTGCGGATATATAGTCCTCGTGGGCACGCGCACCATCGCCGAGGGCTGGAAGTACGTCGACATCGCCTGGCTCGTCAAGATCAAGACCGATCGGAGGGCAACGTACATAGAAGTGGTCCCACCGACCCCGTCTGAACCACACGTGTCATTCTTCTTCTTCACGTGTCCCTCCATTCACACTCTCCCAGTCCTTCCCTGTCTAGTGCCCGACCTTTCCGCCCGTCGTGCTGAGTTGGTCGCACCTTCGTGCATCTTCGTCCTTTAGACGTTTCACCTAGAGCAAGCGGGGCGGCACGCCCCTTGGTCCACCCGCCAGCCGGGTGGGGCTTGCACGTGGTAGCGGAGGCGCTGCTGAAGCGGATATATCTATCCCGATGTGTATTTTTTTCCGCCGCATTTCGCACCCCTTTGTTGATTGCTACCTTGCCGACTGCGGATAGGGAGTCCTCCGTGGGCACGCGCACCATCGCCGAGGGCTGGAAGTACGTCGACATCGCCTGGCTCGTCAAGATCAAGACCGACTCGGAGGGCAACGTATATAGAAGTGGTCCCACCCACCCAGCCGCACGGCAAGCGCACAAACAAACAAAGCTCCAGGCCCCAAATGACGTGTGAGTGTTAGAGTTGTTTGGTATTGCTAAAAAAAATCAAGCGCACCCAGCGCACGGTGCTCACACACACGGCCCAAGAAAGCCAAGAGATCCTCTGCGTCGAGATCAAGTGGCTGCCTCGACGAGCGGCGCAACACGGCCACGCGCTTCGTGAATCGTGATGAGCGCGGCCACCTACGCGAAGGAGAGCTGCCCCGAACGAAGGAGAACTGAGCCCGCGTGTTTCTTTTCCCGCCGCCTTTCACACCTTGAGTTATGTGTACGCCAACTCAGGGTGTGTGGCAGCCAGCTGGCTGTGTGTCTTGTGAGCTTGTTTGTGTCTGTGTGTCGCTCGTGCGTGTCGTCATCATCTGTCCCGCGTCCACCCATACCGCGTTGGTGTCCAGTCCGAGCCTGACTGTTGTTCATCTTTCTACATACATACATTCATACCCCTTTGTTGATTGCTGCAGAGAGAAGACCGGCAGGAGACTGCGGAATACGGAGTCCTCCGTGCTGCGAACCTGTCGCTGTCCCTTTTCTCAGGAGCAGGAGAACTAGGAGAGCGCAACCAGTAGGAGGCCCGCGCTTGCCCCCGTGCCGCCGGGTGCAACCTGTCCTATACGAGAGAGGAATCCCTGGGACCCTGTCGTGAGGGTGAACCCTGCCCAGCCCCCCTCCGTGTCGCGATGCGCTCCCCGCTCCCGTTCCCCTGTGTCCCTGATCGTCCTTACAAGATCCTGCTCGTGCAGGTGGGGACCCTGTCCTTCTCCCACCCCTCGTTTGGCGTGTACGTTGTATTTATTTATTTATTCAAGTTTTACAAACAAAAAAAGTTTTACGTTTGCAGCATTCGAGAACCTATTCGAGAAGCCAGCACATCGCGCTCGCGGCGTTGACTCGGGCGCGGTCGACCCGGCAACAAAGGTTGAGAAAAGTGGTTCGCCCTGCCATGAAGGAGTTTCTCTTCTCCGCTGATGTTTTTCTCTCTTCCACCTTAGCGCGAACGGCCGAAGCGCGACGAGGCGCGTGGCGAGATGTCATACCCTCCAGTGGCCGAGGGCATCCCCGTCGGCGACGTCGCGGGTGGCCAGGCGGCGCCACGAGTGCAGCGTCAGACCTCAGAGGGTTTCCTGCGCAACCTCGGCATGCCGCCAGGGATCAACGCCTCGTTCCTCCGCTCCAACGAGTCGTTCCCACTGCGAATCTGGATCATCGACAACTCCGGCTCGATGCAGACCACGGACGGCAAGCGCATCATGCGCGGACCCGGCGGGCGCGAGGGCGTGGTGGACGCCAGCCGCTGGGACGAGCTGGGCGATTCTCTAATCTGGCACGCCACGCTGGCGGCCAACCTGGGCGCGCCGACCGAGCTGCGGCTGCTCAACCCGCCCGGCGGCGGCTCGCCGCAGGTGCTGAGCGTCGGCATGGGCGGCGACGCGGCGGCGGAGGTGGACGCCGTCAAGAAGCTGATCAAAAGCGGACCCACCGGCCGCACGCCGCTGTGCGAGCAAATTCGGCAGGCGACGGCTCGCATCCAGGCCCAGGCGGACGTGCTCCGCGCCAACGGGCAGCGCGTCGTCGTCGTGATAGCGTCGGACGGCGCGGCGACGGACGGCGACATTGAGGTGGCGATGCGGCCGCTGCAGTCTCTCCCGTGCTGGGTGGTGGTGCGGCTCTGCACCGACTCGGAGGACGTTGTGCGGTACTGGAACGCCGTCGACGAGGACCTCGAGCTCGACATGGACGTGCTGGACGACTTGATGGGCG